AAGCAGCAGCAGCAGCAGCCGCAGCAGCAGGGACAGCAGCGGCGGGGTGCTCTGCAGCAGCAGCAGGGGCAGAGCCAACTAGGACATCCACAGCAACCGGCATCGGTGAACGGCCTTGCCCGCCATCCGCCCAGTGGTGGCTCGCTGCTGCCAGCCCTGCAGGATCCACCGGCTCCTCTCCTGGACGGGAGGCGGGCCACGGTTGCGGCAGCCGCGCACGCATCGCGAGGCCCCAACCAAGGCCGTGCCGGCAGCGCTTCGGCTGGCCAGACGCCCAGGCTCGCCGAGTGGTCGGTGGAGGAGGCTGAGATGGGGGATGGTTGCGAATTTGACTTTGTGGGCAATGGCGCGGACGAAACGCAAAGCCGGCTGCCGTCGGCTGGTGGGCAGCAGCAGCAGCAGCAGCAGCAGCAGCAGCAGCAGCAGCAGCAGCAGCAGCGGCAGCAGGGCACCAATGCAGCAGGGTTGGCGCAGTCGTGGCCGGACGGCAACGGCGGTGACGGTCACGGAGGCAGTGGCGGGCCTGCGGGGCCTATCAACTGGGGGAATGTTGGGGGTGTGGTGGGCCTGACCTCAGTCTCGTCACCTGGGCTTGGGACACCCGCGGGCGCAGTTACGCAACCAGGCCGGCGGCGATCGAGAGCGCACTGGGAGGCAGAGCAGAATGGTGCAGTCACAGGGCAGCAATGGTCGGGCGAGGCGGCTGGGAGCGCTGCTGGGGGGCCGGCGGTGGGGCTGCTGCCGGGAGCTCTTCTGGCTCGACCTGTGCCGACTGCCGCGGCGCCACCACCGGCGCGGCCGGCCGTGTTTACGCCTCACATACAGGCGTCGCAGCCGCTGCCACGAGTCACTGGCAGCCAGCACTTCCGACGGAGCTTGTCTGTCTCTCAGGCCAGGCAGCAGCAGCAGCAGCAGCAGCAGCAGCAGGCACCACAGCAGCAGCAGCGGCACCAGCAGCAGCCCCCACCAACGGCGCCTCTGGAAGGGCGCGAAGCGTGGCAGGCTCACGCATTGCAGCAGCGGCAGGCGGGGCGCCAGCAGCACAATCAGCAGCGGCAAGGTGGCGAGCATCATGCACTGGAGGACGAGGTTTGGCACGGGCCTGAGGAGGAGTGGCAGCAAGGGGAAGCACAGGCGCTTGAGCAGCAGCCCGGACGTCGGCGGCTTCAGCAGCCGCAGGCTTTTCAGGGGCGCCTTGCCTTGGGGACTGGCGGCAGCGGGGCTGACGTCGACGCAATAGAGGTGACACAGGAGCATGAGCTGGGCGAGGAAAGGGGCAACGCCTCCGGCAACCTGCTGGGTGGCGGGACGGCAGCGCCGCAGCTGATGCGTGGGCGCCGCTCAAGCGTGCTGACTCCACTGGTACTGCAGCAAACGCGCCCGACGGCGCGCGTGAGCGCAGCCCCGCCGCCCAAGCAGGCGGACGCCACAGCGGGCAGAGGCGCGGCAGCGCTGCCAAGCGCGGCACCGCGGCAGCCGTGGCGCCAGCGAACGCTAGCCGAACAGCGGCCGCCGCTGCAGCAACAGCGGCAGGCGGCTGTGGTTGACCTCACAAGCGACAACAGCGACGATGAGGGAGACGCCGGCGGCAGTGGCATGGCGCAGCCGCCGGGCCCTGGCGCTGACGCTGGCCCTTGCGATCGCGAACACAGCCAGGAGGACGCGAATGCATGGCACACACCCCTTGGTGGCGGCTATATCGCTGGGCCCGCCGGCGGCGGCCTTTCGGAAGCGGGTTGCGGCGGCCGCGCGCGCGCCTGCAGCACCGGCGGCAGCGGCGGCGGCGCGGGCAGCCCAAAGTCGGGGCCGCAGCTGGAGCAGTACCTTGCGCGGCGCATGGCCGAGGTGGAAGCCGAGGAGGCGGCGGCCGCGGCGGGCACGCCGCTAAGTGGCGGCGAGGAGGGCGAGGGCGAGGAGGGCGAGGGCGAGGAGGACGACGGGAGCGGCGGCTGGCCGGAAACTGACCAGCAGGAGCAGCAGCAGCAGCAGCAGCATCAGCAGCAGCAGCAGCATGTGTGGGAACCGGATCTTGGGGGCGACGGCGGCGATGAGGACGACGATTGGTAACAGCTCGTCTAAATTTGACCTGCGCTCACGCGTTGCTGAGCCACTGCTGTGAGTGATGCTTAAAATATACACTCAATTACCAAATCAAGACCTCCTTTGACCTCGACCAGCTACGCAGAAAATTAGGAGTTACAAACACGTACAGCACGCAAGGTCATGTGCTCTGGCGCATTTTGTGCAAAGGAAGACACACATCTGCCAAAGGGCACGGGCCAGGCTTGCATGCGGACAGATATAAAAGAAAGCCGCCTCGTGGTCGACTCAGCTGTTTGCGAAGCCTTGCCTCGGCGGCTGGCGGCCCTGGTGGCGGCTCGGCCAGACGGCTAGGGCGGGCAAGGCGAACTTAGGTGTTGATAGCGCCCAGGCGTGTGTGGCAGAAACATATTGTGTACAGGCATGGGGGCCTCTGGATGCGTTCCATGCCTCAGGTTGGTACCGCTACCAGGGCCTTCAGGGGTTGGGCATCCATGCTTCTGACGGCGGGAGCGAGGGTGCCGCAGGGCCGGCCGCTATCCAGATCACGAATGTCTGTGCCGGGGCCGCAGCACACGGTCAACAAGATACGCATCGAGGCGCCCCGGATGTTGCAGGAATCAAAGCAGTGTGGAGTAATCGACGCCCGCAGCAACATGACGAGTATCGGGGGGCAAGGTCAAGCCCGCCTGGCCAGAATTCAGAATTCGAAGGCCGGCTGCGGCGTGTGTGACGCCTCGGCGCGTTGTGCATGGGAGGTCTCGTCGTGCATCGTCTTGGGATCCTCATCGTCAGGTGACCGGGCGCGTGCATGACCGCACGACTCATGAAGATGTCGGCTAACAAATGGCAGCCCCTCGGGAACGGATCCCTTGGAAACCGGGCCGGGCGCGCCCCGGCCCCAACTAGACAAGATACTAGCCCCAAAATCCCAGGAGCGCCCCGCACTTGCAAAAGCCTCCACGCCCGCTGCGACGCGGCCGGCTGGCAACTCTGACGCGTCTCCGGCTGTGCCCACACCCGCGCCCCGGCGCGACGGCCCCACGCCGGCGCCCGCGGGGGCGCATCGTGCAGCCCTAGTGCAGGCCGACGCCAGCCCACGCCGCACCCCCAGCGGCGGCCCGCGCCCTAGTTTATGCACCGCCGCCGCTGCATGGCCCTCAAACGAGGTCCACCGCCTTGGCGCCCTGCAGGCCCTTTGAGGGGTCCGCCCCGTGCGGCGCGAGCTCGGTCAGCGCCTTGGCGTCCCCCGTCTCGCTGACGACGCGCACCATGTCCTCGAGCGCCGGCGGCGCGTGGTCCTTGCTGCGGCCGCGGCGGAGCGCGGAGTGCTCCTCCAGCGCCATGGAGGAGGCGCAGCTGTAGAGCTGCACGCAGAGGGCGCGGCCGGGCGCGGGGGCGGTGGGGTTTGGGTGGGCTCGGTACGGCCGGGCCGGGCATTCACGCTCCCGTGTGAATGGAGGATTGCGATGGAGGCGGCAGCATGGGTTCACAGAATTTTGGGCCAAGGGCTGCGTGAGGTTTCCCTCAAATAAACGCTTCGCGGGCTGCACAGGGGCCGCACTGGCCCCTAAGCGAACACACCAATATGAATGCCAGCCACTGGCTTTTGCCTCTGGCATCGGTATAGCACTGACCGCCACAAGCCACTCTGCTGGCCCCACGAGCGCTCCTCGGCGCGGGGACGCCACCAGCACCAGTCGACAAGGAAGGGTCGGCCCCAGGCGCCGCCTCCCGCACGCTCGCTGGCTTCATACTCCCCCCCTCTCAACTTTGCGCTGCCAATGATGGCATTGGCTCTCGCCCCCTCACCAGGTACACCGCCAGGATGATGGCGAGGAAAATCGCGTACTGGATCCACGCCTCCGCGGGCAGCGTGCTGCACAGCCACGCGTTGATCATGAGCGACGCGGCCGGCACCTAGCGGGTGCGAGGTTTGGGGGCGCAGGGCGGGCTCTGGTAAGACAAGGTCCTGAAGGATGCGGGTGGCACCTAGCAGGCGCCGGCGTTTTTGGGGGGTTGGGGGACAGCGGGATGGTGACGTGCGCAGGGGCCCGGGGGCTGCTGCGGCTGGAACGACGCGGCGGCGGCGTCAGAGGACGAGGCTGCCACAGGGAGCGGGGCGCGGCAGAGTGGCGCGGAGGGGCGCCGTTTTGGTGGGAGGGAGGGCCTGCGGACGGCGCGGGCCCGGCGGGGCGCGCGCGCCGTGCGGGCGC